TGCTGGGACCTGCTTCCCGAGGGATTTGCTGGGTGCGGTGTCACCGCTGCATACGAGGACGGTCCCCAGCTGCTCTAGTGCCTGGGAAGGGACTTGGCTGCTGGGTGGATGGATGAAGAGGCAGCTGGACGCAACCAACCCCTCGTCCTTCCCCTGTCCTGCTCTCCTTGTCACCCTTTGGCTCTCACTTGTGGTGTCGACCATCTGGATCCAAAATTTTGACTGTTTCCAAAGTCCCTTTGTTATCCAGGGAATAATTTTGACTGTTCCCAAAGTCCCCTTGTTATCCAGGATGCCAGCCTGGCCTCGTCCCCTGCCACAGGGAAGCTTGCACACCGGTGGTCACCAAGAGCTGTGGCTGCAGATGAGTGGGCTAAACCCTTTCCCCGTGCTGTCCCCGTCCCCGTTAGCAGATCAACCACCAGTGGAGGGTGGACATTTCCATCCCCATCTCATTTTGGCAGGGCAGCAGCTGTCACTGTCCCCAACAGAGGCAGCTGAGGTTGTCACCAGAGCCCGGGATGGAGAACCGCAGCACCGCTGCAGTCTCCCCAGCACGTGTGGTGAACAGACACAGCAGGAACAAAACTTGTTGTATATGGGAATCTCCTCTTTTACTAAAGAAAGTTCCTGCTGTCCCTGGAAACCTTAGCCAGGAGGAAGATGTTTTCCATGCTGGGGGAAAATTCTTCATGTGGTTTTGTTGTCTGATGAGGCTTGGGGAGGTGGCAAAGCCCTGATGCCCCTCATAAGAACCAGCACCGGTTCACCCCATTCATACCTCACCCCCTCACGAAGCCACCACCATTTCCCCATGTCAGCTCTGCATCCGAGCGCGGAGGAAAAAAGCCATTTAATACAGACAAAGGTTGTATGAAAATATAATTCTGCTTTTGTTAGCAGCCATCAAACTCTAAAAAGCGTCGCTTTTGTTTTCTTGTAACATTGTGAAAACCTCGTGTCGGATCGAGAGCTGGGGCCCTCTCGACTAATCGCCTCTCCTTTGTGTTTTTAGATTATAGGGGCAATTAGTGTTGTCAAAACCTCTGGCAATTCTCTTTGCTCTTGACAGGGTGTCAGTCCGCTGGGCGAGAAATGGAAGGTGTTATAACTCTCCGGTAATTAGGATGCCTCCGATTTGAAAATGCCAGCAAACGTGTACGAGAGGCCGCGACGACGGTGGGGGTGGGGAGCCCTCCCAGAATGGGGAGGAGGGGGGATGTGGATGAGCAATTAATTAGGGGCTCTCATTCCGAGCACGTTGCCAGCTGATGAATTGGCAAAGGGGAAATTAGCAGGATGCTTAGCTCCCAGCGAGTGGGCGCGCTCCCCGCTCGCTCTCCTCTTCCCATCCTCGCGAGCTTCCCTCCTTCCCAGATGTTCACCGACAGCTGTCTGCGAGCACCTGACCACCAAACGGCAGCTCTTCACCCATGCTGGTGCCCCGGGGGCTACTTAAGGCTCATCAGTGGTTGCCACAGCCCTTATAGAGCCGTGCAGCTCTTTGCCAGGGATGTTGGTGCAGCCACCAGCTCCAGCCAAGCCGGTGCAGCCGAAGGTGCCCCAGCAGCAGCTCTTGGGTGTGAACACGCAGCAATTAATCAATAACTCTGACACGAAGGCAGCTGGGGGGAGATGGCCGGCGACAAATGAAACTCAGCCCGCTCACGACGCCTCCCTCCAGCAAAATGCCTGAGTAAACAGATAAGCTGTTGCAATCTCCCTTGAAGGTCAGTGTGCTCCAGCCTGGCTGGATGCCCGTCACAGACGGGAGGGACTGCACGGGGCTGCCCCAAGGTCCTGTCCCATTGGGGTGACAACTCTTAGGGTGGGCAGCTGGTCCAGACCAGGAGCCTAGGCATCACTGAGGGTCCTGGGCAGGAGGGGCTGGCTGGTACTGGGCTCTTATTTGGACTTTGCTGGGTGATCTGAAGCCAGTTGCTTTGTTTCTCTTGGTCTCTGAGGTCCCAAGACCCTGGTGTGAGGGGATGAGGAGTGATCTACTTTGAATCAAACTTGGGTCCTTGGCTCATAGAGGGAGCCTGGCTCTGCTGTATCCCACATGCTGAGGAGTTGCCTCATCCTGGGGTCTCCTCAAAGAACCCAAGGCTGCTGAGCTGGGGCAGGCAGGAGGCTGCTGGTGGCTCACTGGCTCTCCTTCTCCTGACCAGCAATGGTCATCTGCTTTCCTAGGGAAAGGGAGCATTGGGTTATTAAACTGCAGCAAAGCCATAACCCTGCCCAGAGCCTTGGGGAGAGTTTTGGGCTGGTGGGATCAGCAATAGGTTGGGATAAGGCAGCTCTTGATAGCCATGATTGGGAAGTGGCATTATTCCACCTGGGCAGGACCAGTGGGGCTGGGATCCATCACCGACACCTTCTCCAGCACTTTGCCGCGGGGGTGTGGACCTGTGTTACGATAACCAAAGGCAGGGGTTGGCAGGTTTTCTTAGCCCTCCCTCCACTTGGCATGGTAATTACATGAGTTACTGGTGTCAACTGGAGGTAAAGCTTTGATGTGTCTATGGAAAACCTGGTAACCTCTTCCTCCGTGCTCTGCTTTGCAAAGTTATTTGGGTGATCGGTATCTTCCCCGCTTCCCTTGGTGTTTCCCTCCTCCCTGCATCCTCCAGGACCCCGAGGGAGGGATCAGTGCCCAGCGCCTTTCCTGTGCTCACAGGAGAGGGGGGGGCTGTGGTTTGGAGCTGGCTGCCCATCTGCTGCTGGCTCCTCTTGGTGCCTAATTGTTCCGGATAAATTGCATTTCAAGAAGACCCTGGGGGTAGAGAGCATCCTACCCTTAGGGTGGGGGAAGTTTGTGGTTTAGGAAGCTCCTCCTGGGTGCCAGCTGCACCACAGGGCATCTCCCTGCCATCACTGTGTCCCCAGCGGTGGCCTTGGCATGCCAGGACACACTGGTGGCCAAGGGCTTCACCCAAAGGTGACATAGGGATGGGGGGCATGGAGGATGCCCCAGGAGAGCTTGGAGGGTGGGAGGCACTCGCAGGTTGTTGGTGTTTGGGGAGAGTTTTCCAAGATTGGAATTGTAATGGTGATGTCTCCTTCCTCTCCGCAGGTCCCTGTGTCTGTGGCCATGATGTCCCCGCAGATGATCACGCCGCAGCAAATGCAGCAGATCCTCTCACCACCCCAGCTCCAGGCCCTCCTCCAGCAGCAGCAGGCGATAATGCTGCAACAGGTAACGCTGGTCCTGAGCTCACTGTGCATCAGCTGGATCGGGCCAAACCATTTCTCACCAGTGTCCATGAATGCTGGAGCTTTTTGGGGGCAAGCAAATGAGTCCTTTCCTCTTTGGGCTCCTGTATTCCCCCCATATTTCCTTGGGGATTCCCAGCATGTCCAGCACCAAGGGATGGGAAGAGCCATAGGTGCTAACAGTGCTGGCAAAGCTGGATGCTGCTCCTCTGAGTCAGGGTCTCAAATCCCAGAAACCTCCCTCACCAGAGCTGGTTTGGAGCCGAGCAGCTCTTGGGGAGAGCTGAGGTCAGGGTGGTTGCTCTTGGCTTGATGGATCCCATGCAGACCCCTCACACTTTGGGGCAGGTGCCTGTGTCTGACTCCAAACCTGAGCATGTAGGTTTGTTTCTCACGGCCCCACTTGGCTTTTCTGGAGCACTCCGTCAAATTTAAAGTTAATAGGGAGGGAAGAAAAAGGAGGAGAAGGGAGAAAAACAAACCTCAACTCCGGAACAAAACAGGTCTGCCTGGGTAAACACCTCCTGCCCGACCCGACGGAGGGAGGGAGAGAAGGAGAAATCCCACAAGCATCCTCCACACCCTTCCTCCTGCCTCCAGTACCTGTTTACTCCAAACAGGCTGATAAGGATTCAAGGTTGGCCTCAGGGAAAGAACAAAGGGTAAACACTACCCTGGGTGGGTCCTTCTCCCGAGCCTCTTTGGAGCCGGATAAAGAAACACGTTTGACTGCAAATTAAACAACCCAGGCCGGAATAGCTCGCATTCTCCACCAGAAGAAAACCAAACATCACACCTCTCACCCCTGACCCAATGTTCCCGCAGCAGCGCTCGACCATGTTGCAGGGACCTGGCTTTGATTGGCTTTTGGGTAAACACCCAGACTTTCCAAACCTGCTCACCGACTGAAAAAGCAAAGTTGCTGCTGTCAGCGCTGTCAGCCCGGAGC